GTTGGTGTGGTATTGTTTGTGTAATAGACATGGTCGTCAAAATAATTGCCCTATCAAACGATGTGAGTAAGTATCATTATAATACTCCGTCGAATAGCGTAAAATACAATATTACCTGATAAGTCCGAAAGGGAGAGAGGTCCAGTGATTCATAGTGTATGGGCGAGCCCACGTCGTCAAAATGCTTGATAGTGCTACTTGCATCCTCTATTAATCGGGCATAATCACGTATAGCTTCTAGCATGAGATCGAGCTCCTCTGTAGTCATTGACTGATTTTGGGCAATCATTGATGCGGTTGAGCGAGCTTCACGATGTCTTTCCAATAACTGATAGAATGATTTTAAATTAGACAAAGGGTTTCTATTTATAAAAGCAGTAAATGAATTACGTAAGCACTTACTTCTACAAGTTGTTCTTGAATTCTCTTCAAATCCTTGTTTATGTCTTCGTTGAATTCTTCTTGTACTGTATTGAGCTGTTCTAGACGCTGCTCATTCTCAATTATTTTCTCTTGTGTAGCCGTTATGCACTCTTCAACGTTATCTATAGTGAATAAGCCACATGGAACGCTCGATTAGCTTATGCCATAAGCGATATGTCCCGATGCGGTTACTTGCATGACCGACACATAATAAGTGGGTCTTTTTTTACCTTGCTTTATTTTTATTTCTTCAATATCTGCAAACCATTCTGGGGCAGTTTCTGCAAGCTTCTCCACTCTTTTAGAGATTTTATCCAAGTCGTTGGTAAATTGCTGAAACTCTTTTCGCGCGCGTTTCAACTCTTTTTCAAATGATTCCTCGGATAGCGTGGGTGAGAGCAGTGATCCATCGAGTAAGATATCGGAAATGGCAATCTTTGGCTTCTTTGGAGGATGTATTTCAACCTTTAGTTTTGCGTGGAAGAAAATGCAGAAAGGTTTGGGAAAATATATCTAGGATAGAATAAAAAGATCAAAGTGAAAAATGGTTTGGGTCTTTTAAAACGAACCTTTAGCATATGGTCAGATAGTCCGTTGGTATCAGACATTTGAAGACGTGATCCCGGATTTGAACGTTTTCCCATTTCTCTGCGGGAGATGTTTTGTATATATGCGGTGAATATGTATATGTGTGTATGTAAGTATGTATTTATATATATATTTATATATTTATATATTGTTACAGGGAATTCCTTGGTGTAATGGTAGAAAGTTGAGAGCGGGACGTTTGCTACGAAAATATTAGACTGCTACAAAGACAGTCTTTGACATGGATGGTTTAATAAATGGGGATAGTTGTGTATGTGTTTGTTATATATGCGGAAGTGTCTCTGAAGTAAGGGGGGGCCCTGTGCGTAGGGAACGTGTATATATACGTATTACTGAAGTTGGTTCTCTGGTGTTGCAGTATGCATGAGTGGTGAGGGTCTTTTTTTTTTTTTTAATATTAAAATGACGCAGGGAGGCAACAGACGCTGGCAGTGACCATTAAGAGTGTCACAATAAACCTTTATTGGATGCTGACCGAGGCGCTAATGAGTGGTCAAGACAAGGCATGGGGGGGATTTATCTCTGACATCATCTGTTCGCTCCTTGGGGTGATTGTCATAATTGATTTCATGTAAGTGTTATTGTATTAGTTTATTTTAGTAGTACATCCCAAAGAACATGAGTATTGGAAGTCCGTAGAGCGGGCTTTGACTTATTGAGAAGTTTGAATGATGCTCTATTTATAGTATTCTAATTATTCGGATATTTATAGCTTATTTTCATGGTCCCTTGTTCTGTCATATAGAATTCTCTATGCATGTGCGCAAGGATGCGATTGGGAGCCAATCATAGGATCAAACAGATCTTCTTGATCTTCCCCTTCATGGAATCATCTCGCTTGTGATTTTGTTTTTTAGATCGGTGATTGTAGAGATTATGTCATCACCTGACAAATATAGGGTACTTTCGAACCAACAATTCAATTTGTCAAACATCATCCGATTCCTGCACGATTGTGCCAAGTCGACAAATATAGTAAACACCTTTCCGTGAACCGCCATTAATATTAAAAGACGTCTGAAAGGTAATCACTATTACATAAAGAAAATATCACATAAAGAAAATATTAATGAAAGAATGACAGTCGAGCATCAAACTTTTACACAGTTGAATTCGAGTAAACTGTCTTCGGTCTTTACGTATTGGAATATTCTTACTACCTCCTTAAATAGAATGATCGAACACATGCTTCGGTGATTCAGGAGATCTGTCTTTCTACCTTATTATTATACTAATTCTATTAAAGATATTATTACGCTATTACCAATTTGTTGGTAACGTTAATGAGAGATACTGCATGTCAAATGGTAGAATGCGTTTCAAAGTTAAACTTTGTTCAAACGCTTCTATACCAAACGACCCATTTCTTATGTGCTCAGCTCTTGATTCGTTACGTTACAAGGCCTTCTTGCCACTACAGCATTTTGCAAGAAAAGCAAGGAGTGTATTGATATTGTTGTTACAGACCAACATTGTCTATTGATTAGTAATAGGAGTATGACGCAATGTTTGTTTACGCGGTACCTTTAAGCATATCATCTTTCGTCTTCTTACTTTTAACTAAACTTTTTGTTGCCAATTATAAATGTTAATTTCGTTTTTAGTTTCTTCTTTTACCATAATATATATTTATACGGTGTCAAGTTAGTAAAAAAAACAATTAATATTTATAAACTGTCATGAATACGTATATTAGGATAAAAAATATTAAAATCTTTTCATTCCATCTCAGCCTTATATTGATTAGTTTACTCAGATACTGATATACCAACTAAGAAATGGGGCATGCTGCAACAAAACCAGACAAAGTGAACATTCTATAAATGAGGGCTGATTATGATGTGGCTGTAAGGTTGACCAGTATGACTGATGACATTTTGACACTTGAATGGTCTAATTGTTTTTGAATAGTTTCTAAAAGTAATAATGGTGCTCATTCATGACTTATGGACGTTAATTTTAATTCTCACTTTATCATACCAGAATGTGATGAATATAAACCATAACAGGGTTAATATAGGATTACCTCTATATATAAAAATATAATATGAAACTAATTTACA